AAAAGACAGAGATGGTGGAGGAGATATTCCCTCACTTCTTTCTTCCCTGACTTATCAATATCAATATCAATATCAATATCAATATTTTAAAGAGAGATTTTATTATCGGAGATTTTGCTGACAAATGACTCTCCTGCATTCAAAAATAAAGTAACCCTCATTTGCCCTTACCATGAATTCCAGCGATTCCGCACTGGGCCCTGTGCTTTGTGTTTTCACACTTGCTCTCTAATTCCCATACCTACCAGGCAGGCAGACTCTGTCTTTCACTTGAGAGATGAGAAGTCTGAGGTTTGGGGAGGCTGCGTGACGCACTCAAGATAATGGAGCTGTGCGCAAGGTCACGGAGCTGGGATTTGAACCGGGGCCGCTTCAGTTCCTAAGCCTCGACTCCGGCCGCAGCTACACAGCTTGGAGTGCACCGCATGGGGCGCTGGGCCTGCTTCCGAGTCAAACAGACGCAACAGGCGGCTTCTGAGCTCGGGGCCTGCATCACCTCCTGCGGCTGTGCCCGGAGTGCAGGGACTTCTGATGTAGGGAGATCACGGCCAGACCAGGCACGGCCCTGCCCGCGCGCTGTCTGCTGCTTTGGGCACGAGCTGGCGTGAGCCCTGGGACTCGCTCGACTGCTGGCTCGCTTTGCTCTTTCCCCTGAGAAAAGGTCGGGCCTGGGGCCTCTGCTCCGGGGGTGCAGGGGAACAAAAGGACAGGGCGAGGCTCGGTCAGGGGGACGAAGGCTGGGACTGCCCAGGTGACATCACCGTCGGGCTTAGCAGCACTGCTCCTGGTGGCAAACAGCCTGGTGAGCACTGTGATGTTCGGTCTCGGGAGAGGGAGGTCAGAAGGGCACCTACGCACCCTACTTCACAGAGCAGAGAAACAGGGCTCGCTCGTGAAGGGTTAGGTGCTTTGTCTAGGCATCTGCTGCCAGGCACATCTGCAAAGACACTGTGTACTTTCCCACAAATACGAAAAACACATGCATTTATGGAAAAAGCAAAAGCTATAGGCCTCGCTTTTTAATTCCAGTGTCTGAATCCAACTGTGCCAATTAAAATGAGAGTGAAAACACAACGCTCCGAAGCATTTCTTATGACCCTGAGGGACAGAACGTTTTCTGGGCGAATTCCTTTGGCCTCTCCAAGTATCAGCCTTGGTCTGGATCACTGAGACTCCGGCGCAGGGCTGGGCTGCAACAGCCCTGGGAGCCTGCCTGCAAAGCGTCTGTCCAGAACCCGCTTTCCACGTGCCTCTCCTTCGGGGAGTGTTGCTTCTCATGAAGCTGAGAGGCCCTGTGGCTATGTCTCCGCTCTTTGCTTCTCTACAACCCTGCACTGCTTTCTACCAACAGAGCCGAGTTATCAGCTGGTGAAGGAGGTGACGCTGGGCAGACCACTGTGGCTGATAAAGCAACCCGCGGGGAGATGCATAAGGACAATGATACTCACTATCTGGATGAGACAATGGAACAGGGGTGGAGGAGCTAGCAGGAGCCGCTGGGGAGAGAAAAATGAAGGTGAAAAAGAGATGAAAGATCATCGAGGTACAGACACTGCATGGGAAAAGGGGAGCGCCGACCCTAGACGTCAGTACAAGACACGGAAGTGAGTTAAAATGGGTAAGAAGAGCTCCCCGGGCTGAGGACATGTGGCCCCCGACAGCGAGAAGGGCTCTCTGACTTCAAGCCATAGACCTGTGTGCCTGCCGAGCCCGTGGCTCAGCTAAGGATTGGGCCAGGAACAGCTGCCGAGGCCTCCGGCTATCTCCAGAGGGTCAGGGGGACAGGAGGAGGGGAACCCGGGCCTCAGCTGGGGTGAGCGAGCAGAGGAGACTGGCTTTCTGTTAGATCTCTCTATACATGTTTGCGCATAGGCAGATATTTGCACCAATGGTACATAATTGCACCAAAACCTGTACGTGTCACTCCCTAATTTCAATATCCAAATAAAGCAAAAACGATGGTCCTGCTTATTAATATTTAGTGGGTGAGGTTCATGATTGTTCGGCATCCAGATGAGGGAAAAACATCTCTGCTGCCTTCCAAAACGAAACAAAACAACACAAAACACCCCGACAGAATGACTCTCTGGCCGCTGCTTTGTATATGGAGAGCAGTACACATGGTATTGTGTTATTCTTGCGAAACAAGTAACTCGACCAACTTCCTGCAGGGGAAACGGGCAGAGGTGGTGCATCCAAGATATTTTGGACAGCTCTTTAGTTTTCCATGGGCAAAGCTCTCCGTCCATCATCACAAAACAAAGTCCCTTTGAGAGCGAGATGAAAATTTGGAAAAAAATGTCACCACCTCTTCAACATTGCCTCGACACTTATGGTTTGCTCCTCCCTTTACCGTCCAGATGAGGGCACCTCATTAGACCATGCAAGTACAGTGTCACGGGAACCATAGCAAGATGTGATGGCCTGGCTAAGGTAAGTGTATCTCTTTCCCTTGCATTGTTCTGGTCTCCCGTTTGCACAACGGTCCATGTTATTTTGGCCAAGTGGTAGAGCTGTGTGTGCTTTACCCACAATGTAATACAATGTTTTAACTCACACTTGCAGTAGGTCATCTAGGGGGCAACATGTGAAAACCAAAATCTCAAGATGCCTCTTAAAAAGGAGAGACTCATTCATGTATAATCTTTATGCCCTGAAAGAAATCGTTTACTTTGCTTCAAAGTACAGAAGCAACTACGAGGTGATATTTAGGCCATGGAATTCTGAAGGTGTGTGACCCAGTCCTAAGGAATAGATTTATAACAAATGGTGACATCGTCTCTTTAGGGCCTCGGACGCTCCCGTAGGGAAGCAGCCCCTCCCAAGGCATCAGAGGTCGCTAGCTCTCCACAAAGTGTCCTAACAGCACGAAGACATTTGTCCTAAACGTACATGTGACAGAGGCGTTTCCCAGGTTGCATTCTGTTTGTGTGTTTAAAGCCACAGCTTCCTCATTTCTTTACACACACTTACATGAGCTGCACACAAGAACCTCTACCAGGTGAGCCATGCGTTCTCATCTGGCAGCTCGGAAGCAGGAGTCCTTGAGGTGCGTGTGGCTTTGGCTGGCTTCACCCGCGCATGCCCGCTTTGACACACTCACGCCTCTGGATGTGGAGAAATCCACTATGGAACCGAGAAAGCAACCCCGTTATCGAGACATTGCAACGCACTTTGAGTGCTGAGCTAAGGGGCGATGCACCAGCTCTCACTAACACCTCCAACCCCGGGCCTGGCAGCGATGGCTTCCAGTGTGCCAGCTCCTGTTGCCTGTACCTCTCCCCTGGGGTGAGGCTGCACTCCAGTGTCATGGGTGCTCTGTGCTTCTGCACCCCAACACTGCGGGACGGGAATGCAGTCACTGGCCGAGATGAGCCCGTGTCAGAGACGCACTCCGCTGTTCTGGGGCTCGACATCAGCACGTAGTTAAACGGCTGTAGCTGCCACTCAGTTGATTGGAGTGTAGTCCTGTGTACCAAAAAGGTCGTGGGTTCAATTCCTGGTCAGGGCGCATACCTAGGTAGCAGGTTTAATCCCTGGTCTGGACGCATATGGGAAGCAACCAATAGATGTTTCTCTCTTACACTGATGTTTCTCTCTCTCTTTCTCCCTCCCGCCCTCTCTAAAATCAATAGAAACATATCCTTGGATGAGAGTTAAAAAATAATAATAAACTGCTGATGGCTGATTTTGTTCACCTAAGTTCAGACAACCTTTGTGCCTTCCAAGGAACGGGAAGGAGACTCAGAGGAGGTCCTTCCTAACCCTTGTCCTCACTTCCTGGTGGCAGTGAGTGGGTATCGTCATGGTAGCGGTCCATGCAGGGTCTTTCTTCCAACCATAGCCCTTTCCAGGGAGTCTGGGGCCTACATGATACCCCTTGGGTTGGGCCCCCACTCCAGCCACTCTGGGAAGCTGTGAGGGTGCAAGGAAGACCATAATGACCAACTTTAGGGAGTGCGTGTTCCCGCGTCCCGCACAGGCGTCCCCCGCATCCTGCGCGAGTCTTGGAAAAGGCACACTGTCCGCAGGGCTGTGCCGCGGTCCTTGTCTAAACCAAGTTTGCTTTCCAAGTCTTTAAACCATAATTGTATTAAGTGAGTGAGAAAATGGACTTTTCATGCCACTAGTAATCCTGCTACTGTTATTACTCTACCTGGGATGGAGCTGACCCTCTGCCTTCCACAAGGCTTCACGGGACCTTGGTTACCTACTTCCACACTGTCTGACAACAAACAACAAGGTCTAGAGGTCTCCTTTCTAAAAAAAGTTAAACACTGACTTTCAAAACAGCTTCTGCCATCGGAATTCTTGCCTGTACAAGGGCTGAGCCCGCAATAATGAAAGCCACCAACAGTCAAGGGCGCGACGCTGGCCCGGTTCTCACAGCCGGGTTCCTGGTCGGAACCCCAAGGAGGCCTCTTTGCAGAGAGCTAGGCCCGCTGGAGCGCGGACACATCCCGAGCAGCAGGGCCGGGAGGCTCCGGCCTGCGGCCAGCGCAGGACCCAGGCAGAGGCGCCCTCGCGCCCAGAGCCCTCTCTGCGTGCCCGGAGAGGCGGCTGCAGGCCCGACCACGCCACCCTCCGTCTCCTCCAGAACTGGTTCGTTCGTGAACCCGCCTGCTGAGATCGTTAATTCAACGCTTGCTCAACATCTCAGAACGCCTACACCGAGCTACTTAGTTTCTGCTATGGCTGCAATATTTCTGAATATATTTTTAAAAGATAAGCTTCCCTGAGTGTCTTTCAGGAACTAGGGGCTTTTTATGGAAAGAGTGTTCAGCTTTCTGAATACCTTTTCTTCTAAGTCTCTCTGGGTAACCTTCCCCCTCCATGCCGAGCTCAGCCGAGGGAGCAGGGCCAAGCCGCGCGGGAGTGAGGCCAGGGGTCTGTGCAGGCGGGGGGCTCGGAACACAGTTCTGTTCTCAGAATGGCAGCCAGCTCCCTACGTTTGCTAGTTACTGCTTACACAGTTAGGGTGTCCTTCCCAGGAGAATCACCTTCTCTACATGCTTGGCAGTAGAGTTACTCAGTAGCCAGTTAGCTTCCCCAAACATGGAGATGACAGGTGGCAAGAACCTCACGGTAAAGAACAAAGCTGGCTGAAAATGGGGGTTTCGCTCCCTGCAGCTGCCGGCAGGACGTCCCTGTGGCTGGAACCAAACCTCATGCTATTCTACAACTGCCCGTCACCCACCAGCCTCCCTCCAGCCACCACCCGACGGACAGAAATGGACGGCACAGGAGCGTGATTTTTCTCTCTCCTGGAAGCAGATGTGGAAATCCTTTCAAATTCTTTTTCCTGTGAAGGATTCTGAACAGAGTCCTGCTGACGAGGGGTCACTTTCTGGCCAAAGGCGAGACGGGCTGCGGTGTGTTCCAGAGACCACCGGCAGACGCCACCATGCGCGGCTCGGTGAACACTGTTGCCACAGGGTCAATGTCACAGACAGAGATGAACAAACAAACACAATTTCAGAAGACAAAACACTGTGTGCTCTAAACCAGGACGAGGGTTAGCCTCTGGGCATGACCTACGGGCATTCCAAGGGCAGAGCTGGACTATGGTCAGTGTGGTAGGACCGGCCAGCAGCATCTACTTCAGCCTCGGGGGACAGAGACTGGAACTAAATGAAGAACTAGGGCAGTAGAGGTTAGCTACAGAAACAGGTGATGAAACAGGAGGCACTTGAGCAGAAAAAGAAAAAACAAGAGACAGACCCAAGGAGAAAAAAAGATGTAAAAGAAATGACTGGGATCCGCAGAACACATGGCCCTAGAAACTCCAACGACCTAATTACTCCGAATGCAGAGAGTATCGGTCCCTGTGGAAGGAAGACCACACTGGCTTTCTACTTCTGGGAAGAGGTACGGCATCCTTTGCAGGTCCCTGGCTTACAGAGAAGGAAGCAGAGGATCCCTGTCTGCTTTTCAGTCCCCGGCATCAGGGGGCCCAGGCTCTGTGACCCTCCGGGAGTCTGTCCTAGCATCTCCTCTGGCTGAGTGGCTCTGGTCCTCCCAGGGCCGGAGCTCAGCTCTGTGGAGGGCTGTTCTAGGAGCTCGTGTCTGTGGAAAGGGTGACAGGCAGAGCCAAAGGGTGGCGGGGTGGCGGAGGGAAACACGCATCCCGGAACGGGGTCAGGAAGAAGCAACTCTCGAGGAGGCGTGGGGGAGGGAGACCTGAGGTGTGCTCCTGGTACGGGAGGGGGAGGAGCAGAAGAGCCAAGGCCTCAGCATCCTCTTCCCTTTCGCATTGCTGGGACTTTGCTTCCTCTCCTCCACCCCACAGTGGTTCTGCGTTTCTGTACGTTAATATCTCTGCTGCACCGAAAGTCCCACAACTCATTACGGACACTGTCACTGCCTTACCCTCTTCCTTCAAGCCACAAGGTGTGCAGGGCCTTTGTGACCTGCATCAAACAGCAAATCCCGCCCCCCACCCCCAACACGGCTGAGTTCCTCCCCACTCCCTTCAATAACGTCAGTGTTTTTCTCCTGGACTGTTAGTGTGGCGACCTGGACCAGCTACCACCACAGTGTAACCGAGCCCTCCAGACAGAGGAAAAAGGGACTGGGTGTCATCATCACTGAGGGCCAGAGAACTGGGAGGTGGGACCACTCTGAGCAGAGGGATCTGAAAGACAAAAAGCTGTTGTCTGAACAATGGGGGGCCAGCTCGGGGTCCCTCGTGGCCCCCAGGAGAAGTGGGGTGCGCTGGGGAGAGGAAGGGCAGCTGGCTGTACTTACGGACTGGCTGGGTCTTGAACTCGGAGGCTGGGCTGATCTCGCCCAGACCCTTGCCGTTGAGGGCTGCCAGCCGCACCGCGTACGTCGTCTCGGGCTTCAGGCCCATGATCGTGACAATGCCCTCCATGCTGGCTGTTGTGAGGACATAGAAAGGATCATAAAACATGCAAAACCCTGTTGGTGAAATGGTGCAGCCACTGTAGAAACAGTACGGTGGGTCATCAAAAAATTAAACAGAGTGATCGTGTGATCCAGCAATACCACTTCTCGGTGTACACACAGAAGAATGAAAAGCAGAGACCTGGGACAGATAGTTGCACACCTGTGTTCACAGCAGCATTGAACACAGTAGCCAAAAGGTGGACACAGCGCAGTGTCCATGTTCAGCTTTGAAAAGGAAGGAAACTCTGACACGTGCTACAACAGGAATGACCTTGAGGACGTCATGCTATGTGAAATGAGCCAGGCACAGAAGATAAACGCTGTGTTGTTCTAGACGGAGTGCCTAGGCTGGTCAGCCACACGGCCAGAAGGCAGAATGGCGGCTGCAGGAGCTGGGGGGGGGGGGGGTGGCATTAGTGTTCAACAGCTACAGAGTTTGGGATGATAAAAAAGTTCTGGAGCTGGACCGTGGAGATGGTTGCAAAACAGTGTGACTGTGCTGAATGCCATCGAAGTGTATGCTTAAAAGTGGGTCGAATGGTACATCTTATATAGATTTTACTACAATAAAAAATAACTAGAAGTGATGGTAAATAAAAAGCAAACCTGTTGGTCGGATTGTAACATGGGATCAACCCGCCACAAAGTTGGAATGAGGTCTCAGCGGGGAGTTAGGAAGGTATTGTTCCTCTCCAGTTTTAGTCCAGGTGACACAGAAGTCCCGCCCCTCGCCCCACCCTAGCCGAGCAGGACCGAAGCGTTCTGTAGGAACGAAGTCCCAGCACAGCCTCTGAATGGCTATGACCATGTCCTAGCCCCCTCCCAAGTCCACCTGTGTCACCACATGCAGGGCGGGGATTAAAATGTTCTACAGAGCGGGGTGGGCTGGGCCCCTCTGGCTGGGCTCACACCGGGCAGGGCTTCTGCTTGGCATGGGGATGAGACAGCCTCCATCCTGGCAGGTCACGGAAGGAGGTTCCGAAGTGCCCGGGGGCAGAAGGCCAGCCGGTCTGCATGAGATGTGTCCGTGCCCTGATTCTGCGGGGACGGTGACTGCGGCAGACAGGAACATGAACAGGCCGGCAGGGGACGGCCTCTGGCCACCCCGGGAGCTGAGAGGGGTGTGCCCCTCCACCCCGATGGGCAGCAGGGGCCAGGACTGGGCGAAGGCACGGAGTGGCGCGTCACTAAGGAAACGGCTCTCCCAGCTCACCTTCCTTGGCATCGTACCACTTGAAGTGCCACATCTCCTCGCCTGCAGCTCTCCACTCCGCCTTGTACTTGAGGATGGGCACCCCGCCCGTGGCCTCTGGCTCATCGAACTGCACCTGTGCTGTGCTAGAGTACGGCTCCACCTGGTCGATGGAGGGTGAAGACGGGGTGTCTGTGGGGAGACCGTACGGAGACCCAGGTGAGCCTCCGGCAGGACAGACTCGGCACCATGAAGCATGTGTCTCATTTCTGCTCAGTCTGAAGCCTTGTGGCCCGTCTCTGCCCCCCCGGCCACCTCCCCGTACGATTCTCTCCCGCAGGCCCCTGACCGGATGCTCGAGTCTCCGCTCCTGGCCTCGGGCTTCACTGACCCTGGGCCTCTCTGCTCTCTCCTGGCCTCACCAAGGACACAAAAGGGCTGGCAAGACTTATCTGCTGTTTCTCTGGCTTTTTATTTTTATTTTTTTGGTTAATCATCACCCAAGGGAGGGAGGGAGGGGGGTGGAGAGAAAGAGAGAAAGAGAGAGGAAGAGAAACATCGATGTGAAAGAGTCACATCTGTTGCTTCCTGCACTTGCCCCAACTGGGGCTGGGGATCGAACCTGCAACCCAGGCACGTGCCCTTGACCAGGACTTGAACCCACTACTGGTGCACCAAGCACTGAGCCACACCAGCCAGCGCAGGCCGGCAGGATTAAGGCTGGTGCAGCCACAGGGGGCGCTCACCTGCTTGGACCAGGATGAATTCCAGGGACTCCTGTCCAATGCGGTTCACCGCAGAGCAGTTGTAGTTTCCAAAATCATTTTCAGAGTCCGGCGTTACCTTCACAAAGAAGGAGCTCTTGGGTTACATGCCCCACAGGATGGCCCAGCCTCAGATCCTTATTTGTTGGATTAAATTATTAAAAAATAGAACCAGTAAAGGAGGACTCATTAGCTCCAGCCCAGCTTTAAGCCAGAGCGAAGAACAGAGAAGGGGCCCTTGGAAGAGGATCACTCTGCCCTCCAGGCCTGGTGCTGCCCAGGGAGACAAAGGGCTGGGCCAGAGCTGTTTCTTCTCCAGCCAGTGGCTCTCGGCTCAGGGCATGCCGGAGCAGCAAGAGGGGTTTTAGCTGCACACAGGAGCTGAGCCACAGCCAGACCACCTTCCCACCTGCCCGGCCCCCGGCCCCCGGCCCCACTCACCTCCAGGTAGCTGGCGGAGGGCGTGTTATAGATCTTGATGTTGCTGTAGTTGGAGCTTGGCAGCAGCTGACCGTCTCGGAACCACGAGATTGTGGCACTGGGGTAGGCAAACACCTCGCAGGTGATGTTCACCTGGTTCCCTTCCCACGTGTACACAGCCACGGGGCCCTGCAGCTTGGGGGCATCTGCAATGGGTGGCAATGCCTGTCAGAAAGACGGCCAGCATGGCGCAGCCCTACACGTGCTGTGACCTGGCCCTGGGGGTGGGTGCACCTGATGCAGAGCAACTGCCAGGGCACAGGAGAGGTCGGGCCGTGGGCGCCCTGTGAGCTGCACGGGAAGACGGAGGTGTGCAGGCTTGTGAGAAGTCTGGGGTGGGGAGAGGAAGGGACCTGGGGACACAGGGAAGGTGATCGGGCACAGCGGGTGCAGCTCGGGACCTAGCTCTTGTCCCCTTCCTTCCAGACCCTGCACAGCCCTCCCTCCTGCAGCTGTTCCTCACATTGCACTTCGAGGTACATGGACCGCGAGTCCTGGCCGATGGTGTTGCTGGCGGTGCAGATGTATTCTCCGGCGTCTGTGTACTGGATGCTCTTCAGGGTCAGGGACGACACGCGGGCGTGGCTGCGCACCACCATGTGCCCGTCCAGAGTCTGCCGGAGGGAACAGAGCGCGTCAGGCCCAGGGCAGGACGGGGCTGGGAGACCCGGCCAGCGCTGCGTGACCAGTCTCACACCCTCTCCTGTCTCTGCCCTGTCTGAGGCTCACTAGTGGGGGAGGCTGCAGAGAGCACCAGGGGAACTTGGGTGTATCCAAAATGGAAACGGACTCAGCCTGTGCCAGCAGCCTGGCTGTGCGCCCACACTGGTGTGGCTCGCGGTCCCTCGTGGCGACGTGTCTAACATGGAAGCAGAGCCCCAAGCAGCAGACACCCCATCAGAAGCAGCCTTGCCCCATGGGAGTCTGGGACACCTGTCCTCCCTTCCCTTCCTTCCGGCAGCCCACCCGTCCGCCAGCTCCGCGGTGCATGCGCGTGTCAGGGGGAACCCGGATGTGCCGACATGCACGACCTTATAGAAGAAACCTGTATCTGTGCAGATGCCTCACTTTCCTGCATGCTTAAAAGTAACATGATTTCATTTTTTTTTTTTTTTTTTAAAAAGCCCAACAATTCAGAAGTCAGGAGCTGCTGAGCTGGAAGCAAGGGTCACAGGCCCTCTCCAGGGACAGTGGGGCCGGACAGTCCCGGGGAGATCCGGGGTCTTTGACACCACAGTCCCCACCATTTTCTAGCATTGATACTATAATGAGCGTTCTCAGTCTCTGGAATTCGAGTGATTGGTCAAAAGGGAAATGAGCATATGCTCCCCCGGCAGTGGGTGCTGGACTGTTTCCAAGGGGCTTCCCCACTTGACACTCTAGGTGAACGGTTGCTGGTCTAGGAGAGTCTGGGCATGTGGCCCAAGCTCAGATCCTCAAGAAGGCTGTTAATCCAAAGTAGTCTTACTCTTCACAGGCTGGGCCACACTCTCGTCTCCCGCATACAATGGGCTTGGGCCTTTAAAGAACGAAACACCTGACTTCAGATTCTTCTGATATGCTGGTTTGAAAGCCCAGACCCAGAACGGCAACATCATACAGCGGCCAGTGCAGGAAGCCCCCAAGCAAGGCTGCACGGGCCCTGGGGGCAGCCTCAGGACCGGGCAAAGACGCAAAGACGTGCCTACACCACCCCTGGTGCTCTGGTCTGCTCCAGCCTGAGGACCCGGCACTCACACCGTCTCCGGAAATGGTTGTGCTGACAAATGTACTTCTTTCTCCCTTCCACCCGTCTTCTTTCTAATTTCTCTATCTAGAATTTTTTCTCATTGAATGATCAGTCAAGAGATCAGTAGGCGGCCTCCTGTAAGTAATTCTTATTTTACAGCAGCTCACGGACAAGATTGATGATGGGATTGTTTTCAGATGCCCGTTCTCCCTCGGAGGGGACACAGGTGTGCTCCTGTGCGACTGGCGGAGCCCCTCTGAGGTGTTCGCCGTGGCACCTGGACAGAGTCAGGGAGTGCCACCTACACGCCATGCGGACCAAACGTCACGCTGAGCATTCAGACTCGGGAGGAGAAAGCAGATGGACTCTGAATGACAAAGAAAAGATCATTATGGCAAGAAGATGCTGCTTTGCAGGAGTGTGAAGGGCCATTATAATTCATCTCCTCCTCCAAACATTTTGTCTCTTTTCTTCCAGGTAAAAGTGCTAAGGCTCTTCAGAGCTCACAGAATAAAATGGGCCATAACGCAAGCCGCCTCCTGAGCTCACCTGGACTCAGGTGTTCATCTCTGAGCGAGACAAACAGCAGGGAACGGAACTCCTGGGCCCCAGGGTGGCACTCATTTGAAAGTCAATTATGTCCAGAGTGAGATACTGAAGATAAGGGCACTTCTAGGAAACGAAGTGAGGAGTCTGCCTTCCTGGGAGTAAACCCATTACTTCCACTTATGATAATAATTCTCTTAACAGCTTAGCGCTCCCTGGTAAATCTCAGCCCCTCCTGTAGCCAGGTCTAACAGAATGAGGAGGAGGTGATCGAGGCCAAGCAGGATGAGCTCCCCAGCTGCTCGGGAGTGGTCGCCAGTCCCCGTGGGCCCGTGACCTGGGAGCAGTAAAGCACCCAGCCCATGACAGCGCCCCCTGCGCCCCGGAAGGACGCATGTCAGCAAGGACGGGCACTGCACTGCGGTCCTGCTGACACGGGGCAGCCGATGCAGACAGTTGGTGACCAACGAGAGCTGACGATGACCCCCGTTCCTGTGCAGACTCATGTCAGCGCCTGGGGACAGGCGGTCACTTTAAATATTAGATGGCATTAAGTATTTATAGCCACGACCTGAACACATGAGTTGTGTGTTCTGAATAATTATCATTTCCGACAGACTATGAGGATAGGTTTACCTAATTATAATACAACTGATAGGATTGCTTACATTTATAGAGTTATAATATCAAAGTTCCATCTGGAGCACAGATGAAAGCTATTTTTTTAAAAAGGTATTTATGGGTTAGGTCCTTGATCCTCATCTAAATTATACTGGTTTTCATTTCACAATCTGTCACTTAATCACAAATCAGGTAAAAAAAAAAAAAGAGATACACGTGGCCATGAGAAGGATCTTGGGGGTACAATAATTAAAATCTAAAGATTAATATTTAGCTTCCATTTTCAAACTAAGTCCCACATTATCCAAATGAAGCAAGGAGTCAGAGAAATGTCAAAGGCTAAAGCCTATGGACTTCTAAAAAACACAAAACCATTTGTGCCAAATCATCGTAACCTCATCAATTCAATGCTCTGCGAAAGGAGCACAGACACGTGGAAACGACTGGGGAAAACCAACGAGACGTGTCGTTTGCACTGCTTCGAGACGGGATGGGATGTGATCATTTACCAAGACCGGTCATCATCGAAGAAGCGAGCAACAAGATGAGTTGAGTTGGACAGGGCTGAGTGGGTTTCCAGATCACTAACCCTGTGACTTCATGACCCAAAGTCACATCAACCAGGTGCGAGTCAAGAGAATTCACCTGTTCAGAATGACTGGTCTGGGAAGTGGGGGGATTCTTTCTCTAAGTATAATTACCTGGATGTGGTTTACCAGCACCATCGAGAGAGTAAGACCCCGTTTTAGAAAACAAGGAGGATTCGTTCATCCACTCCAACACAGCTTGCTTGCTCACCCTCAATGACACTATATAAGCAACATCTACCACTACTGACCTATCTTCATCTAACTCAACTACTAATTAGTTCAGCGTGCCTGGTTATGAACTAGGCTGGTGAGTTAAACCGCAATGCTTTCAGAACTAAAGACTGGCTAGTGGTCAGGTAAGCTATACCTCTTGCTTCTCTGGTCGAGTCCACGAAGCCTGGAGAGAACAAGATACAAAACACAACAAGAAAGCAGTAAAATTTCACAACATGTTGCTTTAGAGAACGGATGTATCACACTGCATTTCGTGCACATGCAGCTTCCGTCACAACTTTTCCAAGGCCCACTTTCAATGGTGTGTTTATTACCCCATTTAATGTAGGACTTAGCTCGTGTCCAGCTCCCCCCCCCTTATGCACATTGAGATGTATAATTCAAAGGTAAAGTCTCCCCTAATCTTTGGTAGACATACGTATGGATACCAGCAGACATATTATAAGCTGCTTCTATTCCCCAAGGTCTTGAATATTCCTAGCAGCATTTGGTGACACTCTTAGTTCTAACTGCATAATCTAGAGATACTTATAGAGTAAGTTTCCTCCTTTGGATTTTATCAGACAGCTTGTTACAAATACACGAATGCCATTTTGTGCTCATGCATTTTATAACTCTTTGCATGCATACTATCAAAAATCAAATTTTTAGTTTTTAAAAAAGGAACAACTAAAGAGATCATAGAGCAAATTAAGAATAAGCAGTATGAAGTCCTTGTGACTAAGGGTCAGAAAGTTTTGAGGATGCCCAACTCGGACTGCGGTGGTACGGCGGTGGGTTCCGGAAGGCAGGGGCATGCCCCCATGGCATGCAGGCTCAAGCAGCTCCATCTTCATCAAGCATGGCATTCCAAAAAGTGGGCCAACTCAGACCTAGAGGTTGGGTCTTTTCCTCCCCGTATTTAGATTTTTACAAACTGTATCTGGCACTTGGGAATCTACTCTCCTTAGTTTTTCTGTTTTCAGACTGGGAGTCAAAACCATCACACCTACATGGTTCTTTCTACTGGATGGCACGGCTGCCTGACTGTCCCTGAGGTTCAGGGGAAAAGGACAGAAACGATGCCAGAGACACAGCAGTGCGACCCAGGAAATGCAAACGAGTCAGCAAACATTTAGTGAGAGCCCACTAAATGCACGGAGCTCTTCTGAGACGTGAGGATGGGGATGCGGATCATGTCACATGATGTTGGAATGAAGAACGAGAACAGAGGCACACGCAGAGACCACAGTATGCACAGTGGGCCGACATGTAAATGTGGTCGCCAACTCCACGTCACTTCGAAGCTTGTCTGTCACATGCCAGGGCTGCTTGAACCAGGGACACTTTTTAGGGGCTAGATCATGTGGAGTTGTTTGTTTTTCAGGTCGGATTCTTCCCGAGTCTCTCCCCAATCCTTATGGCTCTGTGTGGTTTGGAAAAAGCAGCTGCTAGTCACAGAGGTTTCCAGCTGCATGACTTCCCACTGTGCCCGGCGGAATGACAGGACACGCCTTGCCCGGGACTGGTGAAGGTGTGTGGCCTACTTTAAGACACCCTATATGCTAATACACAATAAAATAAATGAGAAGATGATTAGTACTATTCCAAAAATTGTCAGCTCCAGGTGTTTTCTCATATTCACATGTTATTATCTTACAAGTCTGCAGGAGTATGTATAGAAACTAAAGTGGAACATCTCTTCACTTGTTCTGAAGTATTCCCTATTAGAAATCTGGCACAGTCTGGATAAGCCAGCCTCTGATTGCTCCAAGCAGGCACCTTTTCCAATTTTCAAAGTGAGCACCTGGTTTGTATTGAATGAGGAATTCTTCCCGGTGATAAAAAAACAACTCCAGTTTGCAGAGAATGGAAAATTTCAAAAAGTGTCTCTTATTTGTGGGCTAGTTCAAGGTTTGTGAAATGCTTTTCACTTTTTTTCTGTTTCTCTCTCCTGATCTCAACTCTTTCCCCCTTTTCCTTCTCCTTACACTTTAGGCCTCATATGCCTTTCTTTCCGTCATTTCAAAGGCGTGTTCAAATATGTGCACAGTAAACTTGTTCTGCCAGAGACGGATGACGCAAATGATCACCCGGAAGCCTCCATGTGCAAATGCTACCTGGGATTTCGCACCACGCACTCAAGTGTGTGGCACTGGTTACAATGAGCCTGGGTAGGAAGAGGAACGAAAAGATGTGGACACACAAGCCTTCTCTGTAGCGGCATCATCACAACGACCTCCATACACACCGATCAAACTGACCCACGGTCATGTTCAAACATGTTTTGATGTTGTCAACATAATAGTGACCGCTAAGAAATGAACTAACGTGCAAATGATCTACCCTAATGGTCTCAATGACCCAAACCTGGCCCAGCTATTATCCGTGGTGGAGCGAGACCAACTCAACCAGCTGAAGGTTAGCAGGTTAATAATAATTGATCTCTAACAAGTGACTGGATTAAACCCAGAGACTCGATCGCAGCTAGGGTGTGACATGCAGGCTCACTATTCTGGTTTTATTTGTTTATCTTTTTTTAAATGAAGAAAAACCTAAGTATTTCACTAGTAAGTCACTAACTATGTGCCTGTGGTTGAAAGCCATTTCCCTCTCAGGGAAGCAAAAGACCAAACTGCTTTAATTAGCCTACATTGTTCAGGAAGACACTGAGCCTTCTACGGAAGCATTCCAACCATGAGAGCACCATGGCACTCGGGGACCCAGAAGGAGGCCCTGGGGCCTTCTAAGGGCTCTGTACTTGACCCTGTCCCCGGCAACATTTTCCCCAGTGACCTGAACAGAGAGGTCTCAGATGAGTGTGCATATACGGCTGGAGCCATTGCCGATCCAAATGCTAGGTGATGCGCTGCAGGGGCCTGGAGTTGCCTGCTGGGCCCTGCGCTTAGGCTGGGGCCACCACCGGCCGCCGGACCTCATACTTCCAGCACATAAATACAATGGGGGCATGTGGGATGAAAGTCCCTGGACCCACAGACCTCCAAAGGGCAGTTCTGATTAAAGCCATTCTTGACTGGCTGGACAGATGGGCTCAAATGGTTGCTCTCCAGCCAGACGGTGTCTGTACGCGTGGGACCTGGGCAATCAGAAAGGTCAGAGATGACTCCTAGGGTCAGGGTGTTAAATCGATTGCGATGCACGACAGTCCCAGCAGTTCTCCACAGTGTCATAGTGACCTCGCTAAGAAACACTGCGTTGCGACAAAGAAATACAGTTTTTGGCAGAAATAAAGATAAAATTCTGCGTGACTGGTTAAGCAGTCAGTTGCACTGGCCCCGCGTGGGCCGCCACCACAGGGCTGACGCGGCCTGCACGGCATCAGTTCCCAGACCGAGGGCGTGGTGGCCTCGGCGGCCCTGGGTGCCAGGGAGCTGGTGCGTCTACTGCAGGACAGCTGGCAGAGGACAGACCGACTCAAGAAAAATCGAAGAGCCACCTTAAGGGCTCTCATACGAAGGCTGAGCAGCAGACCCCCTGGTCATCAGCGCTGGCCGAGTGCCCGGCAGAGGACTGACACTGTCACCTTGCGGGCAGGGGCTGACTGACTTCCTGGCAGATGCCTTAGAAAGGGGTGCCAGGTAAGGCCAAACCACCTCAAAGCGTGGCTTCCTTCCCACCCTCGCCGGTTCAGGCGTTTTACGTGGCCTGTTCCCAGCCGCCTTCCGCATCTGGACGGTCCGGCACCACGGTCTGTTCTCACCTGTTTAGCATCTCATCCTGATTTTAAAAGAGGGTGTTTTCTTCCACTTTGACAACTGAGTGGCTCTAAGACACGCGATGCCTAATTACATATTGTGCAAGTTCAGACGGACTGGCTACCAAAGAGAAATGTATTGTCCAGAGTCCAACCGCTGGGAAGAGGCCAGCTCTGTGCACTTCGTCATGAGCTACCCGAGCTGTGAGGTGGGCAACACGCCTCGGATGTCGGTGCAGGGAACTAGGAATTCTACGTTAATTCTTCCCTCGCAGGGCGACCTCAGGCAGGCGTGTAATCGGGCGCCACGCCGCGCCGCAGGCTGACTACTGGAAGACTGTTCTAAGCCTGACTCGCGCCCGTCCCATGAGGTCGCTTCAGGTCACCCTGAAGGTGGGCTGCAGCAAAGGAACCGCAATGCCGCCTACGTGGCGGCTTGACCAGTTGCTCAGGTCGAGGCGTGATGACACTCCCTGACAGGTGAGTTACACAGAGCCTCCTTGGCTTGAGGCGGTCTCTGCTCAACACCTTCAATGTCAACATTGAGTGCGTGTGAGTGTGTTAGTGCCTGGCTCTTCGTTCTCATTCGGTGAAAACGAATTCACAGATACAAGCCAGCAGTGCCAACTATTAAAGGGGCTGAGATAGGCACCAATCTTAATAACCCTTCTGGGCTGGCTTGGCTGCTGAGCTATTCCTAGAAAAAATATAGACTTTAAAAGCATTGTTCACCTGGGACAGATATTATTTCTGTCCTTCACTGAGGTCAAAGATACACACTGGATCATTCTGGACCAACCTACGCCCCAGTCTGAGGTGGAAAGGTCTGCCAAGCGGCGGCCCTGTGGTTTACGGCCTGGCACGTGCGTTCAGTCCACGCCGCACACACGAGTTTAACCCCGATGTTCATAAAGCACCAAGTACACACCACACTTCTCACTCCAGCACAATATCCAACAGCAAATGTGAGCTTCAAAAATACTTAGCAGTTCCCCAGTGGAGGTTTTAAGTTGAATTCAACTCGGAGGTAAAAACTTGCAAAAAAATAAGTGGTCTGGGACCGGTAACGTCTGCTCCTTTGACTCAGCCTTGCTTCCCGTCAGCAGGACAGACAGCGCCTCCAACGCTGAGCCCGAGTCTGGCTCCAGCACCTCACGCTGTCCCTTCCGGCTCGCCTTGCGCTCACCCTCCCCAGGGATTTCCTTTCGGTAGGCAGAAGAGTGAAGCTCTGTCACTTCTGACATTCTGGTCAATAGCAACCCATTATAAACGTCCTTTTAATCTAAGGCCATTGCTGCTGAACAGGTGGCAAAGTGCTGGCCAAGAGAAAGGGAGCCCGGCACTGCGGGCTCTCTGGGCTGAGGCTGGAGAAGCGCCCTGGATGGTTTGAGTCACGTTGGACACACGCTGCCCCCGCCCCCGCTTCTGGCCCGCTCGGCAGCGAAGGGCCGTGGGCTCAGTGAGTGCGCAGTGTCCTAGCAAGGACAGCTCGCCGGTGGCCTGCAAGTCCACGTGTGCTCGAGTGGTCTTCCCAGTTGTCTGGATCGGCCAGGGAGGCGGCCCCTCTGTTCTCACACCCTCCGCGAATGGACTGGAGAGCCCCGTGCAATCATCGTCGCGTGGAAACTGCTAATTATTTTTGCCTTTAGATCAACATGATATACAAATGTGATCGAGAATACAGGCAGACACCAAGGCAACCAAGCTTCTGTGTGTACAGTGCATGTACAGCATGAGTATACAGAAAACAAAGAAGAGAGCTGATCGGCTCGTTCTGATCCTACAGTTTCTGGGAGACATGTCCTCGGGCGCTCCTGAGATGAGGGTGAAATCACCTGGAGCCCCAGGACCTCGGTTTTGCCTTGTTCCTCACTGCCCCATCACCCTGCGCCTGAAAATCACTGTCCTCTTCCTCCCCAGAATGTTTACCTTGACCCTACCCACTAGCATCACACTCCTGCCCATCTAGCAAAGAGCTACCCCTCCCGTTGCCAGGGGATGCGGAGCAGGCTGCATCCAGGCAGGAGGAGGAGGCCACGGAGCCTGGCTGCGGCTCCAGTGACCACATCCCACCTCCGGCTCACCAAAGAGAGCTGGGCATGGGGCAGACTCCCGCTGCTGCGAGTCTGCACTCCATGGCCCTGAAACTCTTGGGTGACATTGTACCTTTTCTTCGCTGCTGATGTTTCGGGTGGAAGTTCTCCAGGTGACAGAGGGAATGGGGTCTCCCGAGGCTTCGCAGGTTAGGGTGACCTGCTCCTCCAGCTCCATGGCGGTCTGGTTCTCTACGTAAGTGATTTTGGGTTTTGCTGAAAAGATAAAACATTCCTGTCATGTTGCTCTCACCTGGGGAGCGTCCCAGGGTCAGGTGGCAGCATGCACGCGGACAGCAGAGCTCATCTGCTTCCCAAGTGTAAGGCTGTGCTCTGGGGTCGACGCCCCGGGGAGCTGAGCGCGGAGCGGGCTCCTGCAACACCCGCGTGACCGACATAAACAACCCCCTGCACAATCAGAGCACTAGGTAGGGGTGCAGAGGCGGGGAGCAGAGGAACAGCGCTCCTCTGGTTGGCTTCGCGAGGACACAGATTTTAGACTGGGCCGCGAGATTTTCAGTAGGTGAAACTTTAGGGTGGAGACAGAGTCATTCCAATGGTAGGAAACTGCTTGAATAAAAGCAAAGAAGCAAGAACGCGTGATGAGAGGGCTGGGAGGAGAGCGGCGTGTTCGGCTTCCACGCGGAGGAGACGGTGCCGAACGCGGGCAGCGTCTCGCGCGGTCGAAGCTCACGCTTGAACTCTGTCCCGTGGCCGGCGGAGGCCAACGGCGTGTTTGATCAGAGGGATGAAGTGACCATCTGTAGTACAAGAAGGTTAATCTGGAAGAAATCCAAGATGATTTAGAAGGAGAACACCTCGGGGTGGGAACACCAGTTTGGAGGCCCTGGCAGGCCCCGCTGGGACGGCACGCAGTCCTGCTCGGAGCCGCCCGGGGGGGGACAGCTTCGAGGGTGCCGCCAGGGAAGGCTTTCTGGGAAGTGGCAGGTGCGCAGGGCACGTAGGAACGGCAGGAAACGCGGGAAGGAACGAGAGGGAGCCCCGTGACTCCGAGATCTGTAACGCCCAGGAAAGTCGTGTCAGCGTTAACTCAAGTGAGGACGTGCGGGGGGAACTCGGGTTGCGGAGTGGGCTGGGGATGGGAAGGAGATGAGATGAGTTCATTTTCCAAATGTTTGGGGTAATGCAAGAAAGCACAAAGCATTCAAAGCTGAGTTAAATGTTAAAACATTAGAGAAAATTGAATTTTCCCAATTTAAAACAATTATACTCTGAAATTGCTAAACCTTCCATAGAAGAGATAACTCTGCACAAATGTCACTTATTTCAATAATAGAGGACAAGGCCTGGCTACAAACACAAACAAAACATAAATAAATTAGAACTATGGATACTTTTTGGAAGAACTGCATTTGCTTTATATTCAGATTCACACAGTAACCCCGTTTGGCTAATAAAACCACTGCCTATCGACGTCCTCCAAATGGAGGCTCTTGATGCTGCCTTAATAGACAGAAAATAACGAGAGAGCTGTGCATTTTCTGCAGAAAATATCTGCTTCTACATGAACTACCACATAGTTAGCATATCTCCCAAAGTCATCTGTACTAAGTGCCCGCTTAGCAAACTGTATACTGGTGGAGCGCCCGGGGGCACATCTCAGCGCACGGGGGCACATCTCAGCGCATGGGGCACATCTCAGCGCACGGGGACACCTCTCAGCGCATGGGGACACCTCAGCGCACGGGGACGCCTCTCAGCGCATGGGGACACCTCAGCGCACGGGGATATCTCAGCGCACGGGGGTACCTCTCAGAGTGCACGGGGACACCTCTCAGCGCATGGGGACACCTCTCAGCGCATAGGGACACCTCAGCGCACAGGGACACCTCAGCGCACGGGGATATCTCAGCGCACAGGGGTACCTCTCAGAGCGCACGGGGACACCTCTCAGCGCACGGGGACACCTCTCAGTGCATGGGGCACACCTCAGCGCATGGGGACACCTCTCAGCGCATGGGCACACCTCAGCGCACAGGGGCACCTCAGCGCATGGGGACCTCTCAGCGCGCACGGGGACACCTCTCAGCGCGCACGGGGACACCTCTCAGCGCGCACGGGGACAGCTCTCAGCAGACGGGGACACCTCTCAGCGCACGGGGCGCATCTCAGCGCACGGGGACATCTCAGCGCACGGGGACATCTCAGCGCACGGGGACATCTCAGAGCAGAGTGACCCGACAATCACAAACAGGAATTGGTGGAGGCTTTGTGTCCATCTTGAGGAACAGGACTCCGAGAAAGGCCACCCGCACACTGGACGCAGGAAGTGTTCAGTGCTGCTCACAGGGACACTTTAGAGGTGAAGTAGAGCTGAATTTCTGCACTGCTAAAATCACGGATTGAGATGATAAAAAAAAAATCGGCTTGATAACTGAATTCACTAAAACGAAAGTTTTGGGGGGAGATTGCAGACAGCTATAGGGATTTCTGGCCTCTTGAAATGCAGTCAGATGCTGGGATTTGGACAGTGCTCACTGACCTCCTCCTGACCCACAGCACTTGGTCCTGGTGGCCAAAGGCTAACAGAAGACAAAGGACAAGCCAATGTCTGTTAACGATGTTTGGTCTCGGCAGCTCCATTTTGCTGGTGGTTACAAAGGGTCACGGTGCAAGCCTCTAGAAAAAGGAAAACTATCTTCTTTTAAACAAAAATATGTTTTTATTTATTTATTTATTTATTAGAGAGAGAGGAAGGAAGAGAGAGAGAGAAACATTGATGTGAGAGAGGAACATCGATAGGCTGCCTCCTGCACGCCCCCTACTGGGGATCGAGCCCACAACCTGGGCATGTGCCCTGACCGGGAATCGAACCGGGGCCTCAATGCACTGAGCCACCCTGGCCGGGCAGGAAAACTGTGTTCTTATGAACAACGCTGTTAACAATGACTAACTCTGCGTGGTCTGCGGAGGGAGGGAAGGCCAGCTTGTCACTGATGACTTGACCTCTCTGTACTCCAGATGCAAGGCCACCATCAGAATTAAGCGAAGGCTCCGAACGCTTCCTGGAAATAGAGAGCAGCGCAGGGGATGGTCCAAGCACACCTGAGAGTGAAAAGCCGTGCTGACCAGTGACACCGGGACAGCGGGACAGATGCAGGGCCACTTCCCTCTGCGCACCAGCGTCCCGCGGAACCGCCTAGGTTCACCTACGAGGGCACTTGCACCATCTGGTTCACCTCTGGTGTGGGCCCTTGACTTTGGATCCCTGTTGTTCTCCACCTGCCGCGTGAGACCTAATGCTGTGGACTGTTCCAGTGCCTTCTCCCCACGGCCCGTCCTGCCAGCCACTTCCAGCACGTCCACAGGTCCGCACCCTCCCCGGGGGCCCGCCTTGCCGACTCATACCCCAGTGCAGGCTTCTGCACGCCTAGGCCAAGGAGGGCTCTGGGGTCCTACTTCCACGAACGGAGAGGTCGGACCTGACCGGGTGTACCTTCCTTCAGCCTCGTCTGTCCTTTGCTGTAACTCACAGGGCTGCTTTGGTCGTTAGGGGGCAGCTGAGCAAAGCTGCTGCCCACTGGTGAGCTGGCCTCAGCCCGCAGCAGCTCGAGACCTTAAGAGCATTCTTATGGGCACAGTAAGAATCTTGGAGACAAAAGTGCTGCTCCAGAAGGGCCGCAGGGAGAGGAGCCACGGAGTTCGCAGGCACATTTGAAGGAAGGAGGAGCAACTACTCGGTCAGAAGAGTGTCTTTCTGATAACTAGGGCTCTGGGCACTGGGACATTTCTCAGGAAAAGTGGGGCCAGGAAGGTGGTGACGGCAGCCCCGAACCTAGACTTGCCCCTAACATATGGATTTCCATCCCTTCCTGAAGCCGCAGAGTTCTGAGTGCTCCTTCATCACCTAAGCTACCGCGTCCTCGCTCTCCTCCCCACTGTCCTCGCTCTCTTCCCCACCGTCCTCGCTCTCCTCCCCACTCCCCACCGTCCTCGCTCTCCTCCCCACCGCGGCTGAGTCTGCTGCCACTGGGGCTGCCCCAGGTCTCCCTGAGAGCCGGTCCCAGATGGCAAACCGGGGGAGGGAGGCGGGGAGAGAGGCGAAGCCCTTACTAGCCGGCCCTCCCCACCTGGTTCCCTGGCTGGAGAACCCATCTCCCCAACCAGCGAGGGAGGCTGGAGGAGGAAGGGGGGGAAGGTCAAGAAGGTGAAATGGGTGGGGAAGGAGCATGTCCATGGCCGCCAGGTCCCTTCAAGGGCGTCATGTGAGCTCTCCTCCTGATGTTACAGAGGACGATGCTTATCCCGGATGGGGCGGGTTAGGCAGAGCCCCTAGGAGACTGTGGATCCTCACCTGTCTGCAGGAGTCTGGCGCCCTCTCCTCTGTCTGCTCTGCTGAGCTCCCTCGTGCACATTCTCCCAGCAGTTATGCGAAAGAAACTAAGGTAGTAGAGAGCAAGTGAGCATGCATGCGTGTGAGAGAGAGAGAGAGAGAGAGAGGGAGGGAGTGGGGGACAGAGAGAGAGAGGGTGGGAGTGGGGGAGAGAGACAGAGAGGGGGGAGGGGGAAGAGATCGCAGGAGGACATGTGTGTGGAGAGGGGGGAGGTGGGAGAGAGATCGCAGGAGGACATGTGTGTGGAGAGGGGGGAGGGGGAGAGAGATCGCAGGAGGACATGTGTGTGGAGAGGGGGAGGTGAAGAGAGATCGCAGGAGGACGTGTGTGGAGAGGGGGAGGGTGGGAGAGAGTTTGCAGGAGGACATGTGTGTGGAGAGGGGGGAGGGGGGAGAGAGTTCGCAGGAGGACATGTGTGTGGAGAGGGGGAGGGTGGGAGAGAGATCGCAGGAGGACATGTGTGTGGAGCGGGGGAGGGTGGGAGAGAGATCGCAGGAGGACATGTGTGTGGAGAGGGGGGAGGGTGGGAGAGAGATCGTAGGAGGACATGTGTGTGGAGAGGAGGAGGGTGGGAGAGAGATCGCAGGAGGACATGTGTGTGGAGAGGGGGGAGGGTGGGAGAGATCGCAGGAGGACATGTGTGTGGAGAGGGGGGAGGGTGGAGAGAGATCGCAGGAGGACATGTGTGTGGAGAGGGGGAGGGTGGGAGAGAGATCGCAGGAGGACATGTGTGAGGAGGGGGGAGGGGGGAGAGAGATCGCAGGAGGACATGTGTGTGGAGAGGGGGGAGGGTGGGAGAGAGATCGCAGGAGGACATGTGTGTGGAGAGGGGGGAGGGTGGGAGAGAGATTGCAGGAGGGCATGTGTGTGGAGAGGGGGGAGGGTGGAGAGAGATCGCAGGAGGACATGTGTGTGGAGAGGGGGAGGGTGGGAGAGAGATCGTAGGAGGACATGTGTGTGGAGAGGAGGAGGGTGGGAGAGAGATCGCAGGAGGACATGTGTGTGGAGAGGGGGGAGGGTGGGAGAGATCGCAGGAGGACATGTGTGTGGAGAGGGGGGAGGGTGGGAGAGATCGCAGGAGGACATGTGTGTGGAGAGGGGGGAGGGTGGAGAGAGATCGCAGGAGGACATGTGTGTGGAGAGGGGGAGGGTGGGAGAGAGATCGCAGGAGGACATGTGTCAGGAGGGGGGAGGGGGGAGAGAGATCGCAGGAGGACATGTGTGTGGAGAGGGGGGAGGGTGGGAGAGAGATCGCAGGAGGACATGTGTGTGGAGAGGGGGGAGGGTGGGAGAGAGATTGCAGGAGGGCATGTGTGTGGAGAGGGGGGAGGGTGGAGAGAGATCACAGGAGGACATGTGTGTGGAGAGGGGGAGGGTGGGAGAGAGATCGCAGGAGGACATGTGTGAGGAGGGGGGAGGGGGGAGAGAGATCGCAGGAGGACATGTGTGAGGAGGGGGGAGGGTGGGAGAGAGATCACAGGAGGACATGTGTGTGGAGAGGGGGAGGGTGGGAGAGAGATCGCAGGAGGACATGTGTGTGGAGGGGGGGGAGGGTGGGAGAGAGATCACAGGAGGACATGTGTGTGGAGAGGGGGAGGGTGGGAGAGAGATCGCAGGAGGACATGTGTGAGGAGGGGGGAGGGGGAGAGAGATCGCAGGAGGACATGTGTGTGGAGAGGGGGGAGGGTGGGAGAGAGATCACAGGAGGACATGTGTGTGGAGAGGGGGAGGGTGGGAGAGAGATCGCAGGAGGACATGTGTGAGGAGGGGGGAGGGTGGGAGAGAGATCGCAGGAGGACATGTGTGTGGAGAGGGGGAGGGTGGGAGAGAGATCGCAGGAGGACATGTGTGAGGAGGGGGGAGGGTGGGAGAGAGATCACAGGAGGACATGTGTGTGGAGAGGGGGAGGGTGGGAGAGAGATCGCAGGAGGACATGTGTGAGGAGGGGGGAGAGAGATCGCAGGAGGACATGTGTGTGGAGAGGGTGGAGGGTGGGAGAGAGATCACAGGAGGACATGTGTGTGGAGAGGGGGAGGGTGGGAGAGAGATCACAGGAGGACATGTGTGTGGAGAGGGGGGAGGGTGGGAGAGAGATCGCAGGAGGACATGTGTGAGGAGGGGGAGGGGGAGAGAGATCGCAGGAGGACATGTGTGAGGAGGGGGGAGGGGGAGAGAGATCGCAGGAGGACATGTGTGTGGAGAGGGGGGAGGGTGGGAGAGAGATCGCAGGAGGACATGTGTGAGGAGGGGGGAGGGGGGAGAGAGATCGCAGGAGGACATGTGTGTGGAGAGGGGGAGGGTGGGAGAGAGATCGCAGGAGGACATGTGTGAGGAGGGGGGAGGGGGAGAGAGATCGCAGGAGGACATGTGTGTGGAGAGGGGGGAGGGTGGGAGAGAGATCGCAGGAGGACATGTGTGTGGAGAGGGGGGAGGGTGGGAGAGAGATCGCAGGAGGGCATGTGTGTGGAGAGGGGGGAGGGTGGGAGAGAGATCGCAGGGGGGCATGTGTGTTGAAAGAGGGGTGTTGGGAAACAAACTCTGCCCTGCAGTGGTTCCATCTCTTTCTCTTGCTCATCACCTACCTCCCTGGCCCTTGCCCACCCCTTCGCTCCAGGGTGTCCCCACAGGGCTCCCGCCTGACTCCCACCCTCCTTCCTGTGCCGCTGTCACTCGGAGAGGCCGGAAGAGAACCCGCTCCCCATGGTGGCAAGCGGAGCGCACATGGGTGTCACCGTTGCCAGGCATGCCACGTGTCGTTCAGATCTGCTGTGGGCCACCTGGGTTCCACGGGGTCGCAAGCCCCACGAGAGCCCAGAACGGACCTAAAGGCTCAGCCTGAATCCTGGCTAGGGCCCCATCTCCCTCTGCTCCGGTCCTCGTTTGTGAAGTGGGGGTGACAATTAACTCTCCCTCCCAGGGCTGGTCGAGGACTGAAAACGCGAATTTATGAACAGTATTTCACTTCGTGCTTGGCACATTGTACGTGCTCACTTCTGTTCAGTATTAGTATTATTATTTTATGGAACCAATATTTGAAAGAATTTCCTAAAAACAAGTCTTTATTATACATTTCTAGGCTCACCCCCCTGCCACATATAGTGTTCTTAATTGACACAAAACTAATTGCGATTCCCTTACCTTCTACAATACTAACATCTCTTCCATGCCCGGTCATGTTCCAGGCACTGTGAGTAAAACAGACACTGGGCCCCGTCCACAGAAGGTCACCCTAGCACGCGCACTCCTGCCACTGAGCCCACGCGTGGCCTGTGATGCTCACATCCTGCCTCCTCTGGAAACTCCTATTTGTTCACGAGAGCAGCCTTTGCAGGGGCTCCTCTAACTTCAGTCGTGAAGGAGCAGAGAGCCTTCCACAAAACACTGCATCCTGTTACTAGGAAGTCGTCATAAAGGATCAAATTTCAGTTTGCCCATCTCCAAGAGCCTGTGACCAACCCACTGAAGACATCAGTGCATGTAATTCACCCTTGTAACCTTGGCAGTGGCTGGGCCCATTCCAGGCGCTCGTGTTGTTGACTGACACCACCTATTATAATGTACGTGCTTATATGTTCTTCTGTGTCTTGTGCCTCTCGGGGTCACAGGGCCATCGCTTACTTATCTCTGTGGCCCCTCTGTCTGGCAACAATGGTGTTCAATAAGTATTTGTCAAATGAAGGAATAAATTAACAAATGCCTTTGTCTTTCTCCATAATATGAAAAACGCTCAGTCAGTGTGACTGGGGAAAACCAGTCAGAATTAGAGAAAAGATTGTCAAGAATATTTTCCAAGAAGTTAAGCTTGCACTTCAAGTACATACTCAGTTACACACTGAATTAATCGGAACCAAATTGATATGCTGTTTATAAATCCAATTGTTATTAATGAGTAAATAAGATTCATGTGTGATTAGCAAGCCCAATGGCACACGAACGCTTGATTTCCAGAGGTCTGTGTTTACAAACAGATCAGTTCTCCCGATCAGGCTAGACGATGCACGGCCCAAGCTGCCCTCCGGCACCTGTTCTAGCAGCGCTATCTGCAGTGGACCAGCCTCGCTGTGGTTTTCAAAAGATGAGCGGAGAGAGTTGGGAGCCGCTAGGCCGAATTTCCCTGAGCAAATGCTTCTTCCAAGGTCAGATCACAATGCATTTTGGTTCTAAATGAATCGAAGTTAACTGAGTTTATAAAGGTGCAGGGAGTAGAGATGGGGAGCTTTTCATGACTCGCGTGACACAGTTTCACACAGGCCAGGGAAAGACACAGAGCAAGACAGAGGCACGGGCCACGATTCACCAAGGGCCTATGATGTCTGGCAGTGCGGAGGGCCCGAGCTAAGGCCCTGCCATCTGGGGTCTACACGTACTCAGTGGAGGTGGGAGACGAAAGATCCCCCAAACAAATATGTAAATGAGGTCAGTTCAGGTACTGATAAGCGCAATGAAGAAATACAGTAGGACTGATGAAGAGATTGGTGGGGGTCGGGGAGTTGGTGGAGATGAGGGTTCTTTCTGCACGAGGCAGGGCGGTGCAGGGAGGGTTCACTGAGAGGCCGGCTGAGAACGGAAGCCGGAAGAGAAGGAGGCAGCGGGTGCAGAGCTGGGGGAATGATATTCCCGGCAGGAGAACCCTAAGTGCGATGCCCCTGGGGCAGGGAACAAGCTTGGCGTGTCTGAGGGACAGGAAGGAGGCCCGCGGGTTTCAAGAGGAACAAAGCAGAGGAAAGGTGATGTCAGCAGGAGGTGAGCTAGCTCAGGTTCGGTCCTGCGGGCCATGCTGGGAAGTGGAGATTTTATTCTGGGTGCAAGAGGACATTGTGGGAGGGCTTTACACCGAGGAGTGGTGCTTATGGTCATTCTGGCCACTGTGAGCGGGAGGGGCGGAAGGGGACCGGCTAGCAGGCTGTGTCAATGACCAGGGGAGCGAGGGTGGCCACCACTGGGCGTAGGTGGTAGAGTTGGCAAGAAGGGCTGTATTTGGGGTAGACGGTGAGGCAGAGTGGACTGGCTCTTGCTGATGGACTGAGTGGAGGGTAAGAGAAACGCAGTGACCTTGACCCCTGTCCTTACCGAAGACTTTGAGGTGGATGGACGCGTCCTGCTCTCCAGCCTTGTTCTCAGCGATGCAGACATACTCGGCCTCGTCATTCTTGTCCACCTTCCTGATGGTCAGCTCCGAGCTGTCGTCACTGAAGAAGTACTTGTCGTCTTCTTCATTCTCCACCTGTTCCCCGTCCCTACGGGCGCAGACATGCCAAGTGCCATGATTGTGACCACAGAGGTAAATGTTTGTTTTTAATTAGTTTCCATAAAATGCAGTCTAAGCCCATGGGAAAGGCTCCGTCTTCACCAACAGTTAAGATGCCAAATTGAATTTCCACGTGTACCATTGATTCCTCCACCCGCACCTCTGATCCTGTCCCAGGGCTGCCAATGGCACCCACAGACACCACAGAGGGCCCCAAGGCCATGCCCTCTGCCCACCAGCTAGACGAAGGGATTCGATGCACAAGACAGGAGAACTGTAGAGTCCCCTCTGCACCTGGAGAGACAGCAATCCCAAGCCGGCCATTCCCGTCCCACCGCAGTGCCAACACCGAGCGGCCCTGTGCTGTCCCCTTCTCTGCTCGTCCCTGATAGAAGGCCGGAGCCAGGCTCTTACTTTGTCCAGCTCATGGTGGGCTCCGGGAAGCCTTCGGCATCGCACACCAGGGTGACGGACTGGCCGAGGTTGGCGGTGGCGTTCACTATGCTCTGCCGGGCCTGGACGGTGGGGGGCACTGCCGGAAAGAAACGCGGTCAGGGCGGTTGGGAGAACCAGGAATACTAGGCCGGCGGTCACAGCCTGGGCAGGAGTCGTGGGCGCTGCAGTTAGCGTAAGGGGTCTAAATTCAGGCACGTACTCAAAACTTATTGAAACTGAATAAATAATGCCCCCCAAACATGCACTCCTGTTTTACAACAATATACAGGGGCGGTCAAAAACAGGTTTGCAGGTGTGAGTACGTGAAACACAAAATGTATTCTTGTATTTGTTTGTTTGTTTGTTTATTTATTATTGTGTTTATTATTAACTTACTTTTGCTCACCCGGTATAAGAAAATGGGTTTTCAGTAATAATAGCGTCAGAAGCTATATTAATGCATTTTATTTATTTGAAAACGGTATTCAGCTATAGCAGCTACGTATCAATATACATTTTCCCGATCAGTGCATACTCAACTTACGACCATGGCTGGTGGAACTTGTGTTCAAAGGGAACTTTCATTCTGGAAAAACCTGAAGCTCCTGATCCCAGTGGTGAAGTGGTTAACACTGATTTGAAATGTACCAGCTCACCAGAGAGGAACCTTTCTCTGGGAACGTCATAAACAACCCTGTGCACAAACTGTTTCACCAAAGGAATGAGAGGGGGAGAGTTTGGCAAAATATATATCAAGAGCTAAAGCAATCTGACCATGATTTACTTATTTTCTTAGTACTGACATTATAATTTCCTGTAAACATCTTGTAAATGTCAGATCGATACCACGGGTGTGTTTATTTGACATTGCAAATTAAGATTAATAAGCCCATGGACCATGATTCTGACTATTCTAAGACCTGAATTGATTATAATATTTTCTTTGAACACTGAGCCAGGGGACTAGCTTCGCAATTATGGTAACTTCAAGGACAGCGAAGGGTGAATGTGAATTTATTAGTAAGCATGGGGAAACTTTCTTGTGCTTCAAGACAATGAAGGACATTAAAACTGTACTAAAGTCCCAATAGTTGAGGACACCCAAAAGGCAAGTATATTTACCAAAAAAAACAAACAATAGAAAAGCTAAGCCAGAGGCGATAGGAGGTAGGGGGGATTCGGCTGAGACTGATGATGGAGTCTATATTTCATGGACCAAAGAGGAGGTTAAAGAGAATGACTTTGGGGACCAAGTCTGCAGCGATGGCGAGGTAGGAAGAAGGGATCTCCTCACCATTCACAATGACCTGAATGTCCTTGAAGTTGATCTCCCCCCGTGCCAGGATCCTCCCCTCACAGCGGTAAGTGCCCTCATCTGTTTTCTTGATGTTCCGAATCTGCAGGTAGTTGTTGGACAGGACTATGAATCGGACTAGAAGAGACAAGAGGCAGGTTCATCCAAGGGTCAGTTAGAGAACTTTTATCTGTAGGAAGGTCGCTGAGCCTTTCATTTTTCCTAGCTCAGTCTTAGAGGGCGGGGGCTTTAAGCTGAAGTAAGAAAAGGTGTCCTGGCTCTGACACAGAGCCAAGAGCAATAGTCTGTTGTAAATGCGTCTTTTTCTTTGGAGAGAAGGTCAAGCGCCTGGACTTTCAAGCCGCAGGCATATACCCGTTCGGGACCGGGGCCCGCATGGTTCTGGGAACTGGCTGAGTCTGGGTTGAAATGTCTCAGAGGCTTGCAGAGGGCGAGCCCTCGGTGCCTTGGTGGCCCAGGGAAAAGGCAGCTTCCAGGGAATTCGGGTCTCACCATCTTTTTTCAGGATGACATCTCGACCTTTGTGTTTCCAGATGATGGTTGGGGGCAGGGAGCTGACCACATCACACACGACCACGGCGTCTTCCCCCTCCCTGAACTCCTGGGGGGTTGGTGCGTTCTTGAACATGAGCTTCTCTGGAAAACAAGCAAGAGAAGAGTGAGGAAAAGCAGCTGGTTCTCCCACAAAGGTTTCCTTCCCTGAAGCCATACTGCCTGGCCACATGTACTGTGGTATGAGAGTCCCACCCAGTCAAAGATGCCAGGTGGAGCGGCTGGCACAGTAGGGCAATATGTCATCAAAGTCTGGTGATCAACGTCTATTCAGAGTGCTAAATTTATCACACTTTGTACATGAAACGCCTGTGGAGGAGAGCGTGTCCTTGCCAAGGGTCCCTTGCGCTGTGGGATGGTGCATTGAGACACGGTGCGTAGGTAGAATGAACTGGGAGGACACCTATTCACAATGAATAGTAGGAGTCACCGATCCTTTCTTGTCTACCGTCTGTCTAGTACTCTAACCCAACTTTCCTACAGCCGAGAGAATTTCAAAGCACGGAACAGGAGAAAAGCAATAATGGCATAAATACTGTGGCAATCCATACCGTTCCATTAGTTGTCACCCAGCGTCACACTGGCCAGTGGGACAGATGCACAATAGCAACGTAATGACGTACCACTGTCAGCTCCCTGTCCTGAGTGGCGCAGAGTGTTTAAGTAATGCCCCACGAGCCACTTCCGGCCGAGCCTTTGGATCCCATTACCGGCGGGGGACAAAGAAGAGAGCACCCTGAATTGCCCAACAGTCAGTCAACAGTTGGGGAAGGAATAGAGGCACCCGCACTAGCTCTCTGGGAACTCTGCAGTTTGAACTTAGAGAATGAGGCCAGTGGGAGTTGCTTTGACCTGCACAGACCCGGGCTGTGAGTTCTGAGTTGGCCAAGGATCATTTAGGAGCATCTTGGAGCTCTTAGCTCAATGTAAACAGACTTGGGGTGAAGAAAGGAGGAAAGAAGCCCCATCCAGCCCTCAGCTTGTCCCCTCCTGCCATCCCTCTGTCCGCTGCCCAGGTGTCTTCCTGGCAAGAAGAGGACAGATGCAGAGGGTGGAGGAGGAGGCTCTTACGGAAGATCTTCACGTTGACCGTAGCCTCCGACTCGCTGCCGTCCTCGCTGGTGACCACACACTTGTAAATGCCAGCGTCATCGATGTCAGCGTTGTAGATGGTGAGGGTGGAGGAGGAGTCGTCATTCCATACCACTGAGATCCGCTGCTGGTTCGGGGTGAGCTTTTCTCCGTTGGGGGAATACCAAGAGATGTCTTTGTCTTTGGCATCCCCTGCCACTGAGGAGGAAGAGATTATTTTCAAACCAGAGACGTTGAGAAGACAAAGTGCCCTCCAGGGTGACAGTGGTACTCATCACAGCTACTGTACGAGAGACAATCAGGCTTGATGGTCAAGGAGGGGTGGCCACTTCCATTACAGTGTCACTCTGGCCCCTGGTTGATTGTTACTACACAACACCACTTACGGTATTTGGAAGGAACTCAACAAACCCTCATGCCAGTGTTTCTCACAGTGCTCCTATCCTTAGTGAGGGAAGAGAAGGGGCATTTGTTGAGGACCTACTGTGTGCCGGGCACTCAGCTAGGAACTTACAACCTCACCGGATGAGGATGGGGCAAAGGGAGTTAGCACATCTAGATTCTGAGCTCAAGGGCCTAGCTGGTTTGAGCCAACTGCTCTGCTTATATTCAAAGGCTTAGACTGTGGTCTAAGAGACTCCGGCTGGTCTAGGAGTGCGGACCCAGCTATGTCTATTCTAGCATCTGCCTACACAAACTGGCATGACTGGCATGCCAGCACCCCTGCCACAGCAGACCATTCATCTCCTCAAATGCTGTGAAGAAGACCGCCAGAATCAGCCAAGCAGCCTGTCCCCGGGCACCTCGCAGGGGCAGGTGTTGCTGCTTAGCCGTCCCAGACCCTGAGCTGGGACAAGGGTCCTAGCACCGGTGACGTGGCTTCGCCCTGCCTCCCCGCGTGCACCGTGCTGGCCCACACACCCCAGCCCCGCACAGATATGGAGTCTTCCTCTCAGGACCCATCATGCTTCCAATAAATATCGTTATTTGCAAGATGTGCTGTGGGCCCCGCGGCTGCGTCTCCAGATCATTTAAATCGCCGTGATGAAGGCCAAGCTGCATGAACACATGCGGCAGCCACAGGCTCCTCCTGCGGTGCAGATCCCGGCAGCACTTCACGGCCCCTCCCTGCTCAGAGCTGCTCAGGAAATGTCACTGTTCACACCTAGCTCAGCTCTTCCTGGTTCTCCCCTGTTCCAAGTCCCAGCCCTGTCACCGACAGAATTCAGAGCCAGCTGCAGCCTCGCCCTCCACGGGACATTTCCTGGTAATTACCTGAGTGGTGGAAATGGGGCATAATTTCTAAAGAGAAAACAAGGATGCTCTGTGGGGCAAAGGGACAGAATACGGGTATTCACAGTGGACCTGGAGACCCGGACACGTGTCCTCACAGCACTCAATTTTCTTTCAGGCAAGTACTTGAGCTTAGACTCCTTGTTCTGGGGGATTCTGGGAAGCGAGCCTTACGTCACCCACTGAAGCATCATTTCTGTTCTCTGTTGTCACTCACAGGACTTTGGATGTGTACAGAGCAGGGGGTCGGGGATGACTCACTATCCTGGGAGCTGTGCTGACTTCCCCAGAGCTCCGCCACCCCCAAGTGGAAGTCCAGATGGCACATGTCACTGTGTGGGGCAGCCCTTCGAGGGGGAGGGGAGAGGGCCTGCGGGCTTCCCTGTCTCTCAGGTCACGCTGTGACCCCAGCAAAGCCACGCCAGGAATCCCCGGTGCGCTGCGCTCAGCCCGGCCCGCTCGGCCCGCTGGGGAGGCTGCCTGCCGGGAGGGGTCCTGAGATGCCGCGGGGCCTGGGGCACTTGCCTTGGCACAGGAAGAATTTGGACTCTCCAACGCTGATTTCCCCCTGGCTGGGAACAATGTCCACCTGCAGAGAAACTGAAAAAGACAAAGTCCAGTTTAAACACACATTCAAATTCCTGAGAATGAAACCGAGAGCTTTCATTCAAAATTGGGGTCTCCCCACTCACTTTAAGAAAGAGGGGAGGGAGATGGTTGTTTGGGTTTAAGAACTGGTCACCACCATAGAATCCACGGGCCCTCACCTCAAATCCAGGGGTGGGCATGGTCAGACCACTCCCTGTGGCACCGTGTCCTCTGTCACACGGTGCAAGGTGCCCCGGGAGGTCTGGGGTGACTCTGCATTAAGTGTTTCGGGCCCCTTGAGAAGGCTATGGTTCTATTCCAATCAGCAGCACCTCTGAGCTTCACAGAAATAGCAGCCCGACCAGCTACTCCCGAAAATCAATCTGCAGTGTCCCCAGGGCTGTGACAAGAGGGAGCCTGCTACTCCAGAACTGCGCGGGCCTCTGGCCACGGCTGCGCCACCGTGCTCACTGACCACGGAGAAGGTTCCACGCAGCCTCCCAGCGGACTGGGAGCCAGGGGTGCCACGTGCTCCCCTCTCCTCGCGACAGCAGCAGCGCTACGGCCCTTTCCATACAGGAGTGAGCACCAGACGTGGGCGCCCGAGTCAGACACCCTCTGAGAGGCTGCGGTCCCTCGGCTGCTGGAGTGCACTGGACCTCAGGCTCCCGTCCTCATTCGCTTCCTTGTATCTGCTCAGAACAGATAACCCGTCCTCACGGAAACACAGTTTTAGGGCAGACAAGAAATGCTTTCATTCATTTGGATTTGACTTTCTTCTGCCTCTTTTCCTCTTAGGTGAAGTGAATCTGAAAGCTAAAGGCTAACAGATGCTTGTTCGATGCATGTGGCTTCGGGAAGCCGGCAGGAAGGAGGGGCCCGGGCGAACAGGCCGCGGAGACCGGGGAGCCCAGCCTTCGAACAGCCATTTTCTCTCGGGCAGCGGAGCGAAGGCTGGTTGCCATGGTGACCGGCTGCGGGCAGCGGCGGCAGGTCTCAGGCTGCGCTCATCTGATGAAGGGACCACGGCTGTGCTCAGCAGAACAGAGGGATCAAAGGGCCTGCGTGGGGGCTGTGGAGGGGGGCGTGGGGGCACCTCAGCTTTGGGGGCACAGCCTTCCCAACCATCTTGCCGGCAGACAAAGCAGACTGGCGAAACCCAGCAGAGGTGGCAGAGAGAACAGGTGACTTGGGGGAGACGGGCCTCGAAGGGAAGGAGCGGGGAAGGGGGAGGAATCAGGCGCAGGGTCCAGGCAGGGAGGATGCTGAACCTCCCTGGTGAGAATAAGAGGCGGAACTCACAGACTCCCCAATGCTGGTTTGAAAGAAATAGTCTAGGAATCGAGAGGCTGCCTGTCTGGCTCACTTGGCTAGCTGCCTGCTACTCATTTTGGGCTCAGGACTGAATTCTCCCGAGAGCAATGGAAAGTCTTCCCTACCTCCCTGCGTCTCACCCGTAGCACAGAGCTGCAGCGGATAGTCGGACGAGGGCCACTGCAGCCCCGACACACGCGACTGGCTGGGGCTGCTTCTGCCATCACTCTTCTCCCCACAAAGTCAGGTGCCACTCGATCCTACACTGAGGGGCCGGAAGGAGTCGCAGCCCACCTCCTCATTTCCCGGATGAGAAAATCAAGCTAAAGTGACTTCCTTAAGGTCACTTCTTGTCAGGGCCTGGCCACCCAGCTTCCAGCTAAGTGTTCTTTCCACTGTGCATCACAGCCTCTGCACAGTCGGGGATGAACTGTTTCCATTTGGGTTAATCATCTGGGCACTCAGAGGAGCAATCTGGCCCTGAAACTCACCATGTCCCAACAGACCAGCACGAACCCAGACCTGTAGGGCCCATGGTACCCTGGGGAGCATGGGCCATACCGAGAGGGCTGCCCCACCGTGCAGCCACCTTAGGTCAAGCGGGTCCTCTCTAGCCCCTTCTGTGGCTCACATTCCACAGTACAGGGGCCTGGGAAGCCCAGAAGCTGTGCCCAGGACACCTGTCACCTGATGGTCCTTTCTGGAGTTCACCGGGGAATTCTTTAGAGAATCAGAGGCTTCTGCCTGCCTGCAAAGTCCACTGGCCATATGCTGAGCCCCAGCAGCCAGCTCCAACATATGGGACCTGTTACTCTCTGCTGCTTGGAGAAGGATATTCTTATTCCGAGTGAAAAAACAGCCTTCACTTTCTCAGCTCTTTCCAAACAGAACATGACTCTCCAGGGGCGGGAGAACATCAAGGCTGAGAGTTTTCGTACCCAAAGGTGGCCAGTATCTATCTCCAGGCACGGAGAGAAATGAGTAACGAGAATTTCAAAGGAATTCCCATTTAACCAGACCCCATGCGCACATTTATCACCACTGACATTTTTAAAGGCGAGAGATCCACTTAGACTCCTGACCTTTTGCACACGTGGACAGACAGTGAGAGCCCTCCTGCCAAACTGCAGAGACCCAGCTGGGCCAGGCGAAGCCCAGCCTCTGAAGGCCAACGCCTGGGTGCATTCCATGGCAGCACGTGGCCGGTCATTCCTCCCCAGTGCTACCCTTGAATGACTAGGTTTAATAATGGTATGTGGCATTCCTGCTCCAAACTCCAAACTCCTTCCTTCCACTTCCTTTCTTACTCTTTTAGTTCTTTCCAATAAAAATTCTGAACTTGTGCCTTTCTCCAATTGCATATCCGAATGACATTCCCTAACCGGGCATAACTCATATGCTAAAGACACTTAGGAAAACATTTCTCCTAGTCAAGTATCTCATCTCTTACTTTGCATTAACATCGCATGTTATCTACTTCGTCTTAGATGCATCCAAAGATACATCTTATAAACCTAGGTGTTTAGCCGTGGGTGGGAGCCCGGGACAGGGCCACGAGCCCCTCCATTCGACGTTCTGACTGTCCTTCTAAGGACCCGTCTCCCAAGGCCTCCTGCAGCCACTTCCTTATTTAATCTGATGCTCACAATAGTTCTGAGATATGAAAAGGCTGATGTTTCCAGTCTACAAAGGAGGAAATGAAAGTTCAGAAAAGTGAGTAACTTGCCCAGGGTAACTCAGCGAATGAGCAGAAAAGTCAAGATCGCAAGGCAGTGGATTCTCAAGCACCACCTCTTCCCCTACTTGGCACAACTACCACGAAGCCTCTGCTGGCCGCCCCAGAGGCTCATTATCATCTATTAGTTGCCATGTTTTCTCTTTCCAAACGATGGGCTAGAGAGAGCAGAGTGCACAGAAATCCTACAACCAAGTTGCCACTGTCACTTCTAGCCTGGTACCTGTAACAGGCCTGTTTGCTCACAGATAATCATAGCAGCATAACCTCCCTTTGCCGGGTGGGGGAGGGGCGGCTCAGAGCCGAAATCCGTGGTAACGGTGGAGTCACGATTCAAACCCAGGCTGAACGGAGACCACAGGCCCCGCCATCCCCCCACGCTGTTTTCTCCCTCGTGAACGGACAGAAAAAGCTTCTCTTGAGAATGGAATGATTCCCTTTTCCTTGTCTCATTTAAAAGATAAAATAACCCTGTGGGAGATCTATGTTTTAAAATGTGTTTTCTGTTTAAATGTCTTTAAAAAAATACTATATTCCGAAAGACACGCCAACTCGTTTGTTAGGCAACGGCTTCAGGCACAGAAAGTGTCGAAGCTCCCTGGCAGAAGCCAGCTGCAGTCTTCCGTGCCCCGCAAAGGGAATGGACATTTCAGGTCCCAGGAGCAGCGAAGGCACCTGTCGGAATGGGCGGGAACCTGACAACGCCAACGACAGAGAAAAATCATTCCGATTTCAGAGAGGAGTTCGTAGATTTCTCTCGAGTCAGGGACGTCTCACAGTAGTTTAACTTTACTGATGTCCTCTTTAGACTCGAACGTGTTGCGGAGCTGGGAAGGGGAAGTGAGCCCAGGTGTCTCGGGCTGGCTGGGGACTGTCCTGTGAAATGGTCCGACACTGGCTGCCGAGGACGACAGGCAGCAGTGGGCAGGTTGGCCACCCAGGCGGCCTGCGAGAGGCCCTGGGCACCGGTTTCAGACAGGGGTGAACCACAGAGCACTAATCTGATCAGTGACCACGCATCAGATGGGGGAATATTCTAGAACCTGTTTAGTAATGGCTAAGAATTTCTGAAAAGGCGCCCAAATGTCTCCATACCTTTATTTTGTGACCTATCATTCTAAAAATGAGACTTAAAGTTCGCTTACTTAACCACTTTAACGAACAGTTGTTTTGTGTTTTTCTAAGTACAACTGAATGGGAAAGTTTCATTTGACAAACCTGTGGGAAACGCAGGCATTTGAACCAGGACTGATAACTGGGGCACCCACCCCCCTTGCCTGCAACAGTCTGCTCTCAGCAAAGGACTCTGGGTAAAAAGGGCAACTTCACTGCTCAAGCAGCCAAACTCTACGACAGTAAAACACCAACTGCCGGGGCGGCACGGTGGGGGAACCGGGGCCGGGGCGGTACCGCGGGGAAACCGGGGCCGGGGCGGTACCGCAGGGCACCAGGACCGGACCGGGGCCAGGGCTCGGCGCCAGACTGCTGAGGTCGAGTCTCAGCTCTGCCACTCAGCTGTGTGATCTCTGCCATGTTATTTAATCTCTGGTGCTTCTGTTTTCCTATCTGTGAAATGGGGAAAACAGAACCCTCCCCATAGGGCTGTCAGAAAGATGAAATAAATGAACATATGTAAAGCACGTAGAATAGCATCTGGCACATAATGAACATTTTATACTTGTGTATTCTTATTCTTTTAAAAATAGATTTTTAGAGGGATAGGAAGAGAGGGGGGGGAAGAGAGAGAGGGAAACATTGATGTGAGAGTAAAACATCGATCGGCTACCTCCTACAGGCCCCCACCAGGGATCAAGCCCGAAACCTGGGCATGTGCCCTGACCAGGAATTGAACCAGCAACCTTTTGGTGCACAGGACTGTGCCCAGGCAACTGTGTCACACTGGCCAGGGTTGTGTTATTATTATTATTCTTAATGAGACCATATCAACAACTTTTCCTAAAGA